GTCACGAAGAGACTGGACCTTACGTGGTGTGACGGTTTGTGCAACTCAGTGCTCCATTGAGCTATACTGGAGAGTGTCGTGAGACACTCGCAGTCTCTCATACCAGGTTGGTCATTGGTTAGAGGTCTGACGAACGCAGTCTCCTGGCCCAGGTTGGGGGCTGGAACATGTGGCGACTTCTTCCGTAGAAATGGTTACGCATTTGCATATCCCACCAAACTCCTCTGCCTTGCGGTTAGGCTTTTGAGCCAAAGGCTTTGGTTTAGGACCCCAATCTTCCTTCTTTCTAGATGTGGGCGCCCTGGCAGTATCCCAGCCCACATACGACCATGAATTGCACATACACGAATAAACTCATGCCACATCGGCCGTCGCGTGGTGCCATCAGCCGGGTCGCTGTGCAGGGGTTGGTATTGTGCTAAGTCACCGGGCGGAAGTATCCTTACTTGACTGGATACCTGTTGATAGGCGCCTCTGTGCGGTTCGTCTGGGAAAGTCTGTATAAGAGTCTCACAAGCAACAAGTTGATAGATGTCTTTTTATTATGTCTGCCTATGCCCCGACTGACTGTAGCTCTGACGCCGTCAAAGAGAGGTTTTACGACGCCCTGAATGCCCTGCTGCGGCGGGCTAAATGCTCAGACATTGTGGTGGTTGCCGGAGATATGAGTGGTGCATCTGAGACTCAATTGGGAGGTCGACATGGACTCGGTACGTGCGGACATTGGGGAACGATTGCTTCAGCTGTGTGCTAATCGCAGTCTGTTTTAATGCAGTACGAACTTCCGAAATAGCCGAAGTCGTCTGGCCACTTGGTGTCCTCCAACAACAGGCCGGCCACAAACTCAAATCGGCCACAGTGCCAACAGTTACCGATGGTGCGGATCCACAACTAACTGCCAGTCGTTTTGGAACACATTTGTGTAGTCTGACGACGCGCTCGTCCGGAGTCGCTTCGCTTTACTTTTCCCGAGGCCGCGTAAGGTGCGGACAAATCGCATGGCAGCTGAAAGACTGGCAGAGCCGGATGTCAGACGAACTTATAAGAATCCTCTTCTAGAGTCTCTTCCAAGTGCTCTAGCATCAGATGTGAACTCATACTGGGACGAGATCGCCACCTCTTTGCATAGCGCTGGGAATTTTGCCTGTGGCACAACCCAACCAGGCGCACTCAAGCACTGGATATCAAACCGAACTGTGGCACTACTTAAATCTCGAAGAAATATCCCAGCCGGTCCCGAACATA